GACTTATCAAACTCAACATTTTATGTAAAAATATATAGGTGGCGCTAGTGGTAAAGAACCTGTCTGCCAATGCAGGAGACATAAGAGATGAGGGTTTGACCCCTTGGTCAGGAAGATTCTCTGGAGGAGGGTATAGCAACCCACTCCAGTATTCTTGCCTGGGGAATCTCATGGACAAAGGAGCCTGGTGGGCTACAGTCCACGGGGTCGCCAAGAGTTGGATACGACTGAAGCAACTAAGAACACGTATAAATATACTAATATATATTTAAATATATACAGCTAAGTTACTTTACTAATATATATTTAAATATATACAGCTAAGTTATTTGTGACATGCAGTAATATATTTGTTTCAAGTGTGCAACAGTGATTTGACTTTTTTTCTTTACCATACTGTGTGGTTTGTGGCATCTCAGTTCCCCAATCAGGACTGAACCTGGGCCAAGGCAGTGAGAGCACCGAATTCTAACCGATAGGCCAGCAGGGAACTCCCAAGATTTGATATTTTTGTATAATCACCACAGTAAGTCTGCTGCTGCTGCTAAGTCGCGTCAGTCGTGTCCGACTCTGTGCGACCCCATAGACGGCAGCCCACCAGGCTCCCCCGTCCCTGGGATTCTCCAGGCAAGAACACTGGAGTGGGCTGCCATTTCCTTCTCCAATGCATGAAAGTGAAAAGTGAAAGTGAAGTCGCTCAGCTGTGACCGACTCTTCACGACCCCATGGACTGCAGCCTACCAGGCTCCTCTGTCCATGGGATTTTCCAGGCAAGAGTACTGGAGTGGGGTGCCATTGCCTTCTCCGCCAGTAAGTCTAGTTACCATCTATTGCCATGCAAAGTTGTTACAATCAATATTTTTATTTTTGAGATATGATCTTGTAACCAAGTCATTCAGTACTACTATTGATAAAAATAACAAAACTTCAGAGGCTTAAAATAAGATGGGAAGGAGCTTTTTACTGAACTCTGACAGTGAAAATAAATGTGGAAATATCCAAATGAGGAAAATAACCAGTAATGCCATGTAAAACTGTAACCTCACAACATAAAGAACACCTTCAGCTGGGTACTTATTGAATTATGAGCTCTTTCTTTTCAGTCCTTACCTTTATCCTGAGGGGTGCTGTGAGTTGAGGGCACTGAGGAGGGAACCATTCAGAGCCAGGGTGTCAAACATGTAGGCCGCAGTTTAGTAAATAATATGATAAATAACACAATATGAGCAGGTGTATTCTATTTGTAGAACTGCTTAATTTTAGGTTATTAAAGAAGGGAATGAAAACCTTTAGTTGATTTTATTCTGCCACATACATTATGTTTACATGAAATAAAAATTTTGGTAAAACTCAGTTATAGGATGTAGGGAGAGTAAAAGAAATTATCAGAATTCTTTAAAAAAAAAAAAAGCAAAACCTACAGATACTGTGTAAGTATATAGCCAGTAGGCTCTCAGTAAATCCCTACTGACTTAACATATGTTAGCTTTCTTTTCTAAAAGATGTGCCAACATGAGCGAAAGAAACTAAAAACAAGAGTATTCAGTGCAGTATTTTTTATTAAAGCTGAAGATTTGAAGTGTCTGACACCAAGGAACTGAGATTAAAAAAATAAATAAATACACACATACATACACACACACACACACACACACATATACATATATATGTGTAAATACATATAATGAATGCAAAAAAGAGACAGTTGGCAGTGGTTATCTTGGTCACCTCCAGGGAATAAAACTGGTGGCTGGAAGACCCAAGGAGGGAGGGACACGTACCTTTCATGCCTACCCTTTTATAGCTTTAAAGTTCTGTTGTATGTGCTTGTAGTGCCCATTAAGGGCTTCCCAAGTGGCTCAGTGGTAAAGAATCTGCCTGCCAAGCAGAAGTCATGGGTTCAGTCCCTGGGTCGAAAAGATCCCCTGGAGATTAACCTTAAACCTTCACTTTTAACATGGCACATGCTTAAGAAGCTACAGCAGTTCGCTGTTGCCTTCACACTTGTTCAGTGTCCCCTGCCTGATCCTCAGGGCTCTCCACGTTCTGGCCCTCATCTTCAGTACTGGTCTCAAATGTTATTCTCCTTAACAGACTCCGCTGTAAAGTTGTTTTCTTCACTTTTCTCTGAATATTTTTCCTACAACAGCTTATGCATTTTGTCCCTTCCTCCTTCTCTTCATTTATTCTGTAAATGCTTCTATGGATTTCTTTTAAATTTTCCCTCTAAACCTCACAGTTTAGCATTTGATTACGTAATATGCTGGGCTTCCCATGTGGCTCAGCTGGTAAAGAATCCACCTGCAATGTGGGAGACCTGGGTTCGATCCCTGGGTTGGGAAGATCCCCTGGAGAAGGGAAAGGCTACCCACTCCAGTATTCTGGTCTGGAGAATTGCATGGATTGTATAGTCCATGGGGTCTCAAAGAGTCGGACACGACTGAGCAGCTTTTACATCACAGGTAACATGCTAAAGCTTAGTTTGAGTTAATCTGGCATTCGCAACCAAATTAATTTTCTGATATGAAAGGTGTTGTAATTAGAGCATAGTTCTATTCAAGGGGTAAGGAGCAGGGTTCAGCAATGTCTTCATTGCACTGTGACTCCTGTAAGGAAAGGATCACTTGAGACAGCAGTTGACCTACAGTGAGCAAGACACACGTGAGGGGGGAGTTCTTTGATGGCCGGATGTACTTCCTTCTTTGTCCAACTGCAGCACAGTGTAGGGTGCTTCGAAGGGTGAATTGTTCTTGTTGTTTTAGTTGCTAGTCGTGTCTGACTCTTTTGCGACCCCATGGACTGTAGCCCACCAGGCTCCTCTGTCCATGGGGCTTCCAGGCAAGAATACTAGAGTGAGTTGCCATTTCTTTCTCCAGGGAAACTTCCTGACCCGGGGATCAAACCTGGGTCTCCTGCATTGGCAGGCAGATTCATTGCCATTGAGCCACCAAGGAGGCCGTCTCGAAGAGTGAATAAATTGGCTTACAACATGCGGTAGAGCATGCAACGAACCGAACCAGCTGAAAAACAAATTCTTGAATAAGGCCCTCTGAACTGTCACCCTTTCTAAGTCAGTAAATAATAGCTATGTGATATTTGGCATTTTGCAGTTTTTACTGACTTATTTTTTGTTGCTTTGTTCTTATTACTAGAATAATATATGTTTATCCTACAAACCGTAGATGAGGAAAAATGAATCACCTGTGAGTCCTATACCTGGTGTATATGGTTTTGCAGTTTCATAAATATATATACCATATACAGATAGTCCCTAATATGCAACAGTTCAATTTAGGATTTTCAATTTTATGATAGGGCAAAAGAAATATGAGTACAGTAAAAATGGTACTCTGAATTCTGAATTTGGATCTTTTCCTGGGCCAGGGACATGCGGTATGATACTCAGGTATTTAATAAGTTATATGAAATATTCAACACTTCATTATTAAATAGGCTTGTGTTAGATGCTGTTTCCCACTTGTAGGCTAATGTAAGTGTTTTGAGCACATTTAAGGTAGGCTAGGCTAAGTTATGATATTCAGTAGGATAGTTGGGTTAAATGCATTTTTGATTTAGGATGAGTTTATGGTGTCAAAACCCCGTGCTAAATTAGGAAGAGCTGTATATTTATAAAACCGGAATCATACCATACTTCTAAAACTTAAATTTTGTATTTTTTCCTTTTTAAATTGAGATATAACTTATGCCCAGTAATGTGCACGAGGCTCTGCTCAGTGAATGTTTACATAATATGTATTGCTTGTTACCTTGTTTTCATCTAATAATGTGTGAACATTTCTCAGGTATTAAATATGTTTCTACATCTTTAAAATGACTACATGATATACTACTGTGTGTAGATCATTATTTAAATGACTGTTGGACAGTTAATTTTTCTACAAAACTTTCATTATTGTTAATTGGTAATGAGAACTATAATTATTGCTGTATCTTTGTACACATTCTTTTTTTTTGGCTCCACCATGCAGTATGTGGGATCTTAGTTTCTGGAGCAGGGATCAAACTCTCTTCCTCTGCATTGGAAGTGCAGTCTTAACCACTGGACTGCCAGGGAAGTCCCAGAAGTCACTGTTTTAAATAATCCTGTTTGTTTGCATGTGTCTTGTCTGCCTCCCTCCATTACACTGTAAGCTCCCTAAGAACTGTTTACCACATCTTTTTCTACAATTGTGCTAAGCACAAAATAGGTCCTCAGTAAATATTTGTTGAATGAATAGATGATCAAATGAATTATCAAATGATCTCTTAGTCTATTTCTTTCTACTCATGTGTGTTAGTTGCTCAGTCGTGTCTGATTCTTTGTGACCCCATGGACTGTAGCCCTCCAGGCTCCTCTGTCCTTGGGATTTTCCAGGCAAGAATACTGGAATGGATTGCCATTTCCTTCTCCAGGGGATCTTCCTGGCCCAGGAATTGAACCCTGGTCTCCTGCATTGCAGGCAGATTCTTTACTGTCTGAGTCACCATGGAAGCCTGTCTACTCTTAAACTGTTTTAAAAATTATGAAATATTCTTAACACTCAGAAAAGTGTTCACTACTCATATTTAACAAACACTAAGATTTTATCATAATGCTTCAAATTTTTTTCTATCCCTTAAGAAGAAAAAGGTGAAAATGTATCAGAGGTGAAAAAATGGCCAATTTGAGGAGTATGTAAAAATGGATAGTGTTTATCAACTTCTAAAAGGAATGGTTCATTTGCATCACTTATATAAACTCAAACTACAGATCCCAGCCAGCACTGCAACAGTTCTGCACGTGGGCTATTCTTTTCTCTTGTATAAACAGCCAATGAAAGCTAGAGTTTACAAAGGTCTCGGATGACAGCTGGCGTGCTGACTGTGGCCAGCCTTAAATCTAGTTAACTGCCTTTTCGAATGCGCTGCTGTAAACCAGATCTCAAAAGGCGTTTCCTGTTAATTCTCAGTTCATTGTGCCTCTTGTTTCAAAGGGAAGAAAAACTGGTTTAGTCATCTCAATGGATGCGATACTGAATTACAAGTCAGAAGATACTGAAGATTACTACACGTTACTGGGATGTGATGAACTGTCTTCGGTAAGCAATGAATAATGCTGTTCTTTTTCACAACAGTATTTCAAGTTTTATTTAAGGTTTTAAAATTTTGAACTTTTAGTCACATTGCCTAAAAATCTCATCATGTATTATTTTAAAGCTCTTTTGGCTCAGAGAACATTAAGGACTTAAAATAGAGTGTTGGGTCTTTACTTGAATAGTGTCCTCTTTCAATTTTCTGGACTTTTCTGATTGAATATGTGTATTCTAACACATGGTCATAGACTCTTTTTCAAATATACTAAAAATATATATTTGAAATTTTATTGTAATTGCTATTGGCAGTGTTTCATAGTATATACATAAGCTATATCTTTATTATGGTAATTTACACTGTAATTGAGATGAAATTTAATTTTCTAGTAATGATTTTAAAATGTTTCATTAAAATATGTAGTCTTACATGAGCAGTTAAATTATTTAAACCAAGAAACATCCTTTTGTGTTAATAATTCAAATTGTGTAAAAGGAATTACTTCTTTTAACTGTGGCTTCTGAAACAAAATATGTGACAACTCTGTAATTGTTCATTTGATCTATAATGGAACAATGTTTTAAAGGTCCCTATGGATAATTATAAGGTCATAAAAGTTTTTCACATTATGGAAAGTTCATTTATAATTTTACCTCCCAAAGGTAACATTCTTAATGTTTGGCAAATTAGTCTCCAGACTCTTTCCTATGTATGTATTTTTGAAGAACATGTTTACTTTTTACCCATTAACATTATAATAAGGATTTCTCCATGCTACTAAAGGTTCTTCATACATGGGTTAATGATTGCATAATATTTTATTTTACTATTGTACCCAAACTGATTATTCTCTTATCGTTAAACATTTCATTTACAGTTTTTTTAGCATTTTAAATATTGTTTAGATGAGTATGAAATACATTTTATTACATTATTAAATATATTCACATTGTTTTATATTTATATAAATATTAAAATATTTATTTTATTACTAAAATGTAGCTATTAATATTAAATGCTTTAAAGCAAATTAGTTTTCTACTTATCTTTGTTTTATAAGGCTGGAGTTAAGTAATAAAATGTACTTAGTTTTGTTTGGCAAATAGAATGCAGTATTGGACACAAAGATTAAAATCTCTATCTTCATCACCCTGAGGAAGTAAGTTTAGGTACCTTGTAGTTAAACAACCACACACAAAAGAGGTTATAATATTCTCTTAATTACATATTTCTTCTTTAGGGTAATATGTTACTTTTGTTTTCTTTAGGGGTGGTTTACTTATATTAATTGAAAAAGCTTATCATGTGTTATTCATACTTTGAAGTATACTCTTGCTGAATAATTTTTGAAGGAACTGTTTAAATCAGAGGAACATACTTTAATTTGGAAAGTTTCACACTTTGGATTTTTTAAAAATATTGTCATGCTAGGTTATAAAGTAAAGGTTGTAATATCCCCTAAGTAAATCTCTTTAGTCAGGCTTTTGTAGTTATGTTATTGTCTTTTCAGTTTACAAAGAAAGATTGGTTTTGAATAGACTAAAAAAATGATCCCATTGTTTATTTATGTTTATAACAGTTTCATTTTGTCATGACCAGTTATAATCATACTTCTCTTTGTATACTGTGGCATATATTAAAAGGAGAATATGTAAAAAATAGGTGAATAAGAGCATGGTCTTGACATTTCTTCTTCTGGATATATTTTACTAATTCTGTCATTGGCATAGCATGTGTAGATAACAGGCACTTACCTAAAATAAAATGACCTGTCACAATTTTATCAATTCCTTTTATACATTATCTTTCTCCTCTTTTTATATGCATCCTTCTCATTTACAAACATCTTAATGCTTTTTTAAACTATTATTGTGACATTTTCTTTACTTGATTTGCATTGCCTGGATTTTCTTTACTTCAAATATTCCTTGGTTTGATACTCTAAAAAATTAACCAGAACTGTTTCTATCCAAAAGCAATTTAGCAGTTATAATTTCAAAGCAACTTGATATTATGACACTACTTAAAACAACTGAGACACACACATAATTCTTTTGCTTAGTATACAGTTCTTACACTTTAAAGCTTGTGTTGGAAATTAATAAATGACACATGTAAGGCCATGGAAGGATTTCCATGCTGTTGAGCGGAAAACAAATACTCCCTGTTCAGAAACATTTATCATAGTTTAAGGAAAGAATGTCTGAAAAGACTTTGGAGAATAGATGGGGTGTGAAATGATTCTGCATCAAAATTTAGATGCATGGAGGGAGACACAGAGGGCATTTGCATGGCCAGGGGAAAGCTGGAGAAGATCCCTTCAAGTGGGAATCAAATTAGTCCCTATTGCACATGAGTATTTCCTGGCACAGAGCAAAATACTGTGCTATTAGGATATGTAAAAGATAAGCTTTTAAGTTTTAAAATTTAATTTCTAAAATTATATATGTTCAATAAGGAAATGAGGAATATAAAGAGAGCACAGGGAAAAATGCCAACCCAAACACTTAATGTTGGGGCTATGATATATGCATGCCATCTCATGCATGTATATATGTATAATTTTGTGTAAATAAGTGCATGTATGTATGTATACATATTTATACATTTATCTTTATATGTGTCTGGAGTCAGACTGCCTGAGGTGAAATCCTGGCTCTGCAACTTACTAGCTCTGCGACTGGGAAAGTTACTTTCCTATGTTTTGTTTCCCTAATCTGCAAAATGGGAATAATGATAGTACCCACCTCATAGAGTTGCTGTGGGAATTGAAAGACATGCTATATTTAAAGTACTAAGAACAGTGCCTGGCACACAATAGGTCTCAATAAATCTTGGCTATTATTTATAATTATTTTATTTATTTGGTGTAGCTTACAGAATCCTAGTTCCCCAAGCAGGGACTGAACCCAGGCCCATGGCAGTGAAAGCATGGAGGCCTAATTACTGGACTGCTAGAGAATTTCCTCATTATTTTACATATACACACATATACATATATGTTACATAATTCCTTTTGAGTAAAACATTAAGATTTTATACCTCACACAATGCTTTGTAGCTTACCTTTTTCTCATAGAATGTTTTATATAAAATTTCTCAGATTATTAAAAATCTACTACAAGAAGATTTTTTTAATGACTGCAAAATATGCCATCCTATAGCCCTATTACAATTAACTTCAACAAATATCCTATTACTAGGCACACAAGTTTTTGTTTAAGATGTATAACTTTTTATTCATTGAACCTTCCTATAACTAAATCCATTCCCTACCTTCAATTATCCTCTTAGCCAAATTCCTAGAATTGAAATGGTTGGATTGAAAAGTATGAAAAAAACTAAAGGATTTATATATTTTGTTGTTGTTGTTCAGTCACTAAGTCATGTCTGACTCTCTGTGACCCCATGGGCTATAGCACACCAAGCTCCTCTGTCCTTCACTATTTCCTGGAGTTTGCTCAGACTCATGTCTGTTGAGAAAATGATGCTAACTAACCACCTCATCCTTTGCCGCCTCCTTCTCCTTTTGCCTTCAATCTTTCCCAGCATCAGTGTCTTTTCCAGTGAGTTGGCTCTTTGCATCAGGAGGCCAAAGTATTGGAGCTTTAGCATCAGTCTTCCAATGAATATTCAGGGTTGATTTCCTTTAGGATTGACTGGTTTGATCTCCTTGCTGTCCAAGGGACTCTCAAGAATCTTCTCTAGGACCATAATTTGAAAGCATCCATTCTTTGGTGCTCAGCTTTCTTTATGGTCCAACTGTGACATCTGTACATGACTGCTGGAAAAATCATAGCTTTGAGTATATGGACCTTTGTCAGCAAAGTGATGTCTCTGCTTTTTAATATCCTGTCTAGGTTCATCATAGCTTTATATATGTATATCTTAATTGATTTACAGAAAATTTGCTAAAATTTGCTAAAAATGTTAAAAGAACATTTAAATTCTTACCAGCAAAGCACAGGTGAGTTCATTTCCTGTACCCTCGGTGACACTGGTTATAATAATCCATGGATGTTTTGACTTTTTGATTATGAGTAAAGTTGATATTTATTGTAGATTTATTGGCTAGTAGAATAGACAGCTTTCCAGGCCATTGGACATTGTGTCAGAAACGCACAATTCAGTGGACTTTGACATGAAGGGCCTCAGTTGTCTATGAGCTGCACTTGGCACCAGGAACATGAGGTGGTGATGCCAGGAGATAAATAGAATGTGCCCAAGACAAACTAAGCCACTTTATTGGTTAGTTTTCCCAGAACCAGCCCTACACAGGAGATCTGTGATAAATTTTGTGGTAGTAAAATGTGAAAAGTAATGCTAGACTGATATCCACAATTCTTAATTTTTAAAAATTGGATAGGAATGAAATAAACAACAACAAAACCTCCAAACTCTCTACTTTTGATATATAGGTATAGTTTTTATCTATTTGTGCTATTAATTTCCCCAAGACATATACATAAGTATGTAATGTGTATGAAAATGTGTCTTGAAGGATTCTGTCATCTTAGGGAAAAAGGAGTAAAAGTTTCTTTAAAATTGTATTACATTATGTTAGGCTGCACTGGATCTTCATTGCTTTTTGGGGTCTCCAGCTGCGGTGAGCGGGGTCTGCTCTTTGCTGTGGTTCAGGGACTTCTCGTCATTGGGGCTGCTCCTGTCGAGGAGCACAGGCGCTCGGCGTGTGGGCCTCAGTGTGTGGCACACAGGCTCAGTAGTTGTGGCTCGCAGGCCCTCGGGCGTGGGTTCAGTAGCTGTGGTACACCGGCTTGGTTGGTCTAAGGCATGTGGAATCTTCTCCAATCAGGTATCGAATTGGCAGGCAGATGCTTATCCATTGCACCACCAGGAAAGTCCAGGAATAAAGGTTTTTAAAAAAATATTCTGTATTGATGGAAATCTTTTCAAAGAGAGTTTGTGAGTACTTGTAAATTATTTGTTAATGAAAAAGTGCTTACTATTAGATTCTTTAAAATATTTAATATTTAAAAATTTAAAAACAAGTCCCAATCTCAATTTTCTTTGTTCTATTAGCAGGTCATGGTGACAGGAATAGGGAGCACCCAGCAAGAGGAAACATAACTATAGTTCTTACTAGGAAATCTATCTCTTCCTGTTATTCCAAGAGTCTCCCAGGACATACTTAACATGGAAGAGAACAGAGATATCAATCTGGGCTTTAAACATACTCATATCTAACACTGTCTTTGATTGTAAAAGTGAAGATTTTTTTTATGAGAATTGATTAAGGATGCTATGGAGCTGATAAAAATATTTCTCCCATGATTCTTATGACAATATTGAACTGAACTGCTTGAGAATTTAATTCTCAAACAAGGTAATTTGCTTTCATGAATTCGTATATAGTAAATGTGGAACTTGCTAATAGGTCCTAAGCCTGAGCTGGCCCATGTAAAAGAGTGGTTAAGATGATGGGATTTGGGGATTTCCCTGGCAGTTCAATCGTTAGGACTCCTCACTTTCACTGCTGAGGGCCATGGTTTGATCCTTGGTTGAGGAACTAAGCTCCCACAAGCTGTGTAGCCAGCCAAAACACTAAAAGAATGATTGGATTTGAATTCCAACTGCTTAGTTAACAAAAAACTCAGCTTTTTCCCCAGTAACAAGTTAAATGAGTTCAAGGAACTTAACCACTAATGTTTAATTAATAGCTATTAAGTTCTTACTCTGATCAGGCTTTGTGTTAAGTGCTGGAGTTACATTAGTCATGAAATGTAAAGATGAGGAAATCTAGGCACATGGAAATTATATAACTTGCCTACACTGACAGGGCAGAACTGGGATTTAAAATAAAGCAATCAGATAGTCGGACATGACTTAGCGACTAAACAACAACAAAAAGTCAGATACTAAGGGCCACATAACCACTTTTACATTATGCTGTTGACATTACAATTAATAAAGCCAAGTCTTGATAATTCATGATAATAAGGATTAGATGGGTGAGTGAAACCCAATAAAATCATAGATGGCCCTCAAACCTCATTTTAGTTTGGGCACAAGTCTGTTTTTTCAATCAAAATCTCTAACCAAACTGTTTACTGGTAACAAAATGATCAAGTTTATCCTTTTTTTTTCTAAATTGTGAAAAATTTTTTTCTTTCCAACTTTATGGAGATATAATTGACATACAGTACCGTAAGTTTGAAGTGCAGATTGCCACAAATTTACTGAACATCCATCATCTATATAAATACCAAATTAAGAAATAGAAATTTTTTCCTTGTGATGAGAACTCTTAGGATTTCTCTTTTAACACCCTTCATATACTACATATAGTAGTGTTAATTATATGTATCATTTTTTATATTATATCACTAATACTTATTTAACTGGAAATTTGTATCTTTTGACTACATTTAACCCCTCCATCCCCGATTGTGAAATTCTTTTTGTGTGTGTGTGTGAAATTCTTAATAGAAAAGGACAAAAAAAGAAGAAAGAACTTTATAATGGGTTATTTATAAACTGGACAATCATCTTGAATAACAGAGGTGGCTAAACAGCCTTTGAAGAACTCAGATGTGTAAACACACCTTTTATATAGTTAGGATAAACCTATATGATGACTTTTAATGTTTAAATATACTGAACTCATAGGTGTCTTGGGCCATCATCTAAATACAGTAGCAAGTTCTATTGTCATTACATACTACTATTTGAATAGGAATGTTTTTTGGATACTTTCTGAATTTTGTGATTGAGAAAATAATTTCTTAGAGTAAAAAGTCAAAATACAAATAGGAATCGAAATAAAAAGGTGGGTGTTCATGGTGGCTTTTTTGGGAAGGACTGACACCCTACTTTTCCCTTTATGCCATTCAAGTTGGATTCCTCATTTTAAACATTAATTTCTGTTTTAGGTTGAACAAATCCTCTCAGAATTTAAGGTCAGGGCCCTGGAATGTCACCCTGACAAGCATCCTGAAAATTCCAAAGCTGGTAAGTATTCAATAATGGTTGCTTTTCATGAAAATGTATAGCATATAGACCTAAAAAGCCAGTGAATAGTAGCTTCATTTTCTTTTATCTATTTACACTCAAAATTATTCTTTCATTTAATGCCAAAGAGTGTTTTTTCACTATTGGATGGAGGCTGAAGAGGAAACTGGGTAGAGTCTTTTTTCTAATAGCAGTCAGTTAACATTCATTTGTCTTTCTGCTATAATGTGCTGCTTCATGGTTTACAATTTGTCCAGTTGGGACTTCCCTAGTGGTCCAGTGGTTAAGACTCCATGCTTCCAGTGCAGAGGGTGTGGGTTTGATCCCTGGTTGGGGAACTAAGATCCCACATGCCAAAATAAATAAATAGATAAGTAAATAAAATAACAATAAGAATAAAAAAATGTGTCCAGTTTTATGCTTCATTTCACCAGTTTCTGAAGGTTAACAGTGACTTCTGTTTGTAACTAGGTGGTTATCTTAATGAGAATCTTGCTGTGTTTTCTTCTGAATAGGTCTGTATATATTGTATAATAATATATTCATACATTTGTTTTTTCTTGATCATATTTTAAATTTCATGATCATACATTTATACATATATGCTTTTGTGTATCTCAGCTTGAAAAAATACAGACAAAACAATAATCCTTTCTTAACCTATGTCCCTCCTGCTTCTTCTCTATCTCTGTACTTCCCTTTAGAGACAATTTTCCTGAAAAAGAAGTTCACAGTTGGTATCGCTACTTCCTTTTCATCCAGTTTTCAATTTATCCCAGTTTGACTTCCTCCTCACCTTTCTGGGAAATGGCGCTTGTAATAGTCACCAAGAACTTCTTGGCTGCCAACTCCTTTTAGTCTTTATCTTCCCTAAGCTTGCATCAGAATTTGGAACTGTTGAGCATGCTCATCTTCTTGACACTCCTTTTTCTTAGCTACCAGGATATGCCCTTATGCTTTTCCTCCTACTTCTTGGGTTGATCTTTCTGTCTCCTTTGTGACTTCTTCCCTTCTGTCCTAAGGTTCCCTTCTAAAATCTCTTTGAGGACTTCCCTGGTGGTCCTTGGGTTAAGACTTTGCTTTCCAATGCATGGGGTACAGGTTTGAGGCCTGATTGGGGAACTAAGATCCCTTGCAGCCAAAAAAAGCAAAACATAAAACAGAAACAATATTGTAACAAATTTAATACAGACTTTAAAAATGAAACATGTAAAAAAAAATCTTAAAAAAAGTTTTAAACTCTCTTCTGGGCTTCCACCCCACTTTTTCTCTAGAATTTTGTTGAAGTCTGTGGTTTTCAATCATCAGTTATTTGTTGATGGCTTCCCATTTAATCCTTAACTCAGTTCTCATTCCTCAGTTTTAGACTGTGGCTTTGACTGCTTCTTGAAAATATCATTTTGAGGACATTTCAATATCACTCTGTCAAAAACTGGCCTCATTATTCATCCTCCTCTCACCTCTTACGTGCATGCTCAGTCGCTCAGTCGTGTCCATGTATGTACCACCCAGCTTAAAACTTCACCAATGCAGCTGAAGTCTTTTGTATATTCCTACCCTGATTTTATTCTCAGAGTAGGTAATACTATCTAAAATTTGATGACTATGGTTACTATAATATATGTGTATACTATTGCTGTATGTCTAGTATGTGTATACCTATGATTTTTTTTTTTTTGGGCCATGTCTTGGAACATATGGAATCTTCCCTGGCCAGGGATTGAACCCTCACCCCCCTGTAGTGGAAGGGTGGAGTCTTAACCACTGGACCATCAGGGAAGTACTATATTTTCTATAAGGAATATTTTCTATAAGGAAAATATTATGATTAAGACCTGTCTGCTGCTGCTGTTTAGTTGCTAAGTTGTATCCAACTCTTTGCAACACCGTGGAGTGTAGCCTGCCAGACTCCTCTGCCCATGGGATGTCCCAGGCAAGAATACTGGTGTGGATTGCCATTTCTTTCTCCAGAGGATCTTCCTGACCCAGGGATTGAACCTGCATGTCCTGCATTAGCAGACATATTCTTTAGCCCTGGGGCCACCAGGAAAGCCCATTAAGACTTGTCTTTAACTCCACATTTCACAAATGGTAAAACTCAACTCCTTTTCATTAAAAAAAATTTCCCTTATCTTAAAGCTCTTAATTAATTTTCTCTAGAAATCACTGATCCCTTTGACTGTATAAATGGGTTGTTTTCCAATGTAGAGAGTCATCTTTTGTTAGATACTTAACTATTACCATTGCACATTTGATTTTCCCCCTTTTTATTAAGATGCCACTTAAAGCAAATGTGACAAAATCGTAAGTATAAACTTGATAAATTTTTGTCTACATATAACCAATTTAACCACTGCCCAGATGAAGAGGTAGGACATTTCTACCTCCCCAGGAAAAGTCCCTTTTCATGTCCCATTCAGTGTCAGCACCATTTCCCATTGTTGGATCTTTATCATCATTGATTAGTTTTGCCTAGTTTTAAATTTTATATACATGGAATCATATGGTATGCACTCTTTTGTGAAGCTTCTTTTGCTTTACCTTATGTCTGTAATATTTACACCTTGACTGTACATGTAACAGTGGTTCATTCTCTGTCATTGCTGGGCCTTGAGGCATAAGCCGCTTCATGTTGTGCCCTCCCCACATCTCTCCAGTCTCATTTTTTCTCCACCTCCACACTTACAACCCTATGTTTCAGCCACTCAGAACTACTTTGGCTCCTAGGCACATTCCTGGTGGTTCGGTGGTTAAGAATCTGACTTCCAATGCAGGGGACATGGGCTCAATCCCTGGTCGGGGAACTAAGATCCCACATGCCACAGAACAACTAAGCCTGAGTGCCTCACCTGGACAGTCTGTGTGCTGCAAACCAAAGAGCCCACACGCTCTGAAGCCTGTGTACCACAACTCAAGGGCAGCCCGTGTGTCGCAGTGAAGAGCCTGGGTACTGTAACTAAGATTCAACTCAGCCAAAAATAAATATTTAAAAAATCCCAGCATTTAAGGGATTATTAAAAAAAGAAAAAAGAACTATCTTGGCTCTTTAATGTGTCATGCTGTCTACTCTAGACCTTTATACTTATTGCCTTTTCTGTCTGGAACATTTCTGAGGCCTGCCTACCTCCCTGCCCTGCTTTTGATTGGCTGGGTCATGCTCCCGAGTCAGGTCTCAGCTTGGCCATCACTTCCTCTGGGATTCATGTGTGCCCCAGCTACCCAGAGCCCCCTATACATATGTCAGGTGGCCAACTGTATATTATATTGTTAGCTTGTTAACTGTTTGCTTATTAGTTATACTGGAGGCTCTGTGGAGCTGGTCTTGCTTATCTCATTCAAAATGGTATGCCTTGCGCCCAAAATAGTATGCACAGCACCTGCCATGGAGGACAGCTACTTTGTGCACAAACTTTCTTGAATCAGTGAAAGAATGAATTCATGAACATTTCTGTAGGAGACATATATTAGTTACCCTTCTAGAATTAATACTAAGATAGATATCTTAGCATAAAACTGTAAAAATTTGATAAACACTTAAAAAAAAATCACCACCACAGATTATTCTTTAACTGGGTTCTCTTCCAGTGAAGCATGGCATTGAGTTGTTTTTCTGTCATGGCAAATGATTTCCATTAAGGATACGTGATGAATCATTGTGCATTCATTGCCATTCTAGTTGCCATAGTGATGGGAGTTTCGTGTACGGGTACCTGAAGGTTTCTTGTTCAGAGAAACACTGCACTGTGTAAATATTTTTTAAAATGAAAAGATATACAGACATTAATATCTTCCTTTGTCAGGCTTGCAATAGATAGATGATTCAACCTTTGGATAGAAATTATTTTCAAACATGTTCAAGTATCTATTTACTTAATTTGGATGAACATGACTTCCTGAAAATTTAAGTAGTTCTTTACATACTTGCAGAAGGGTTAAGATTACTGATAAAAATACTTTAAAATGTGAAACACAAATTCACCCTGATGCTGGTTTTAGCTTGACTGAAATCCAGAATATATTGGACAGATTTTGAAACACATTTCATTAAGGTAAAAAGCTAAGCCTGTAGAGCAACTGCAGGTAGAAGAAATTAAACTTGTGTAATATGCCTTTTTGGCTTGCTAAATGTAGTCTCATTGCCATTGAAGTGACTGATTTGGTAGTGTGATGGAGTAGTAGATAAGAACACAGGTCTGTCTGTCTGCATTGCTCCTAGCTCCTACTTATGAGCTAGTTGATTTTGGGCAACCTCTTTGAGCCTCAGCATTCTCCTTGGCAGAATGGGAGACTAATAACATATTATCACCTCTTGTGTCTCTGCGTGTGCTCAGTTGCTAAGTCGTGTCCAGCTCTTTGTGACCCCATTGCCTGTAGCCCGCCAGGCTCCTATGTCCATGGGATTCTTCAGCCAAGAATACTGGAGTGGGTTGCCATGCCCTCCTCCAAGGGATCTTCCTGACCCAGGGATCAAACCTGAGTCTCCTGCATCTCCTGCCTTGACAGGCAGATTCTTTACCATTGTGCCACCTGGGAAGCCCATGTATCTGCTGTGAGGATTAAATGAGGAATTTTGCACGTGGGAAGAACTCAGTGGATGTTGGCAGTTATAGTTCAGTGTACTTTTCTTGTTCTATGAAGCACTGCAAGATAAAAATTTAACAAAATGGGACAGTTTTTTGTAAGTAAACATTTGCTATTTCTCTCATTTAAAAAAAAATCTAAATCTAAGGCTTTTTGAGATCCTTGTTTTTCAGTGGGTGATGCAGGCAGGACTGGTCGTGCTATAGAAATTGAGTCACTGAGATCAAAAGCCGCTGGTTGGTGCTCATGCCAGTCCTGTGTGTGTGTGTGTGTGTGTGTGTGTGTGTGACAGTAATGGTTTCAAGTCAACCCTTTATTAACTTCCCTTTGACCCTGAAGAGATTTCAGACTAACTTAAGGACCTGTGAAATGGTATTTTTGTTATTGATTTACAGGCTTCAAAGACTTCTGAATATTTAAAGAAGGGGAACTCTTTGTCTTTTACTAACTGAAATCTTTCAGTGTCTCAATGTTTTCCTACTTTAAAAACTCTTTATTGCTTTCTTCCCCTTAGAATAAAAATAACATACAGTATTAAATAATGTTGAAAGTGAAGGTCTGCTCTTATCTCTCTTTGCCAGAGAACCACTGTTAACAGTGGATATATTTTCCTCCAGATTGTTTTCAAAGCATGTCCTGACTTTTTCTCATTATATTTCTCAAGTAATTTTAAGTGGCCTACATTTAAAATGTGGCTATTATAATAATATAATTTTTATTGTGAAATACAAATTAAGAGAACCTCTGTATTTTCAAAGCAGACCTTCAGTTAAATTGGAATGTTTATTAAGTATTCCATCATCATTTGCTCGTATAAGCTTATAAAATGAAATCTCTGTTCCCAGAATTGGTACATGTTTATCTTGTATGATTCATTTGATTAGCTGATATATTAAAGGACAAATATAAATCCAAGCTCATTTTTATTAAATGTGGTGAAGGTGTGGAACAAAGAAAAGGCCACCTAACAGGAAAGGTAAGGTCTCTTTTGCTTTCTGCTTATCATCTGCTGTTGAGGGATTGACATAAGAATAATTTCTTTCATTCCGGAAACTCTGAAAAGTGAGGCCAACAATAATGTGCAAAGAGAAGGTGAATCGTAGATAAAAATGTAAATTTTTACAACCTCTGCTCTAGTAGTCACTGGTGTGTGCATCCATGGTAATAATTTAATGAGCTTTTTATTTCTGTTGGAAAAAGTGACATCTCATTTATACACTGGTACATTTACATTGTCGTCAGCAACAGGAAGGATCACTCACTCGAGCTGGCAGCTATTGCAAGATGTTTTTTATGTGTTTGTTTTCCTTCACTTTCAGTAGCCCCACCTTTAGGATCTTCCTTTTAACCCATCAATTGCTACTACCTCCAGTAGTGATATTAAATATTTAATGATATATTAAGCACCTGTGCTGCCCAGCTTTGGACAGGGTCCAGGGCAGTATCTCTGGCTGCTGAAGGAACAGTTGAAGTAGTGGTTTTGGGGGATGAGAGTTCAGGAACAGTAGCCCTTTACCAGCTGGGGTACAGAAGTATTTCAGTAGTTTCACAGTTGGTATGGTGGTACCATCAGGACTGACTCTACATTTGTCTTAACATCTTTTGTTTCAGAGGATATTGATTACTTCCCATGAGGTATTTTTAAGCACTGTCAGGACAATTTTAATTATTTTTCCCACTAACAGTATTAAAAGGTGCCTAATTCACAAAATGTTTTAAGGGTATGTCACTTGTTTGGTGCTTGGAGCTTATGTAATGGCATTCTATGAACATCTTTATATTCACATTCAGATTGGAAGCATTTGCTCATTCATTCATTTAACAAATACTTTTTGAGCACCTGCTACACTGCTTTAGTACAAGGGATACAGCAGAAGACAAAACAAAGTTTCTGCTCTCATGGAGTTTGTATTCTCATGGAGGATTATAAACAAATAACTATACATAATGTCAGGGGGTAGGCACCATGGGGGCTTCCCAGGTGGCACTAGAGGTAAAGGACCCCCCTACCATTGCAGGTTAGACATAAAAGATGCTGGTTCGATTCCTGGGTTGGGAAGATCCCTTGGAGGAGGAAATGGCAACCCACTCCAGTATTCCTGCCTGGAGAATCTCATGGACAAAGGAGCCTGGCAGGCTATAGTCCATAACGTCGCACACAGTCAGACATGAGTGAAGTGACTTAGCACACACTCAGGTACTATGAAGAAAAGGAAAGCAGAATGAGGGAGATAAAGGAATGGGGCTGGTGGGGTGGGCAGCTATTTTATGTAGAAGGTTGGAGAAAACTCCAGCAACAAGACAGTACCCAAGCTGACAGCTGGAAGAAGTAAGCTGTGTGAGTGCTTAGGGTAAAGTGTTCTTGGCAGAAAGGACAGCGAGTTCCAAGTCCTGGGGCTGCAGCATGCTCGGTGTACTCAAGGAACATCAGGGCAGCTACTATGGCTGTAGCGAAGGAGGTGGGGAAAGTAGGAGGAAATGAAGTTGGAGAAGGAGGAGAAGGGTAGGGAGCAGGCAGAGCAGAGCATGTCAGACCTAACAGCCGTGGTGAGAATTTTCACTTTAATTCCAACAAAAATGAAAAGTAAAAATGGAAGTGATTTTGAGCAGAGGAAAGATATTATGTGACTTTTTTTTTACTTATTTTCTTTTTTCTTTAAGATCATTTAAAAAATATTTAATTTTATTTATTTATTTGGCTGTGCTGGGTCTTAAGTGCGGCACACAGGATCTTTAGTTGCAGCTTGTGAACTCTTAGTTGTGGCGTGTGGGATCTAATTCCCTGGTCAGGGAATGATCCCAGCCTCCTCCATTGGGAGTGTGGAGTCTTAGCCACAGGCCACCAGTGAAGTCCCTCTTTCATTTTTTTTTCTCCCTTTTTTGGCCATGCTGTGTGGCTTGCAGAGTCTTAGTTGAACGGAGGCCCTCAGCTGTGAAAGCATGGAGTCCCAATCACCAGACTACCAGGGAATTCCCTATGTAACTTATTTTTGAAAAGACCACTCTGACCGCTGTGTAGAAGATAGAGCAAGGCAAAGGCAGGCAGATGAGTTGAGCAGCTAATATAATCATCCAGCTAAGAGAGGATGGTGGCTTGGACTAGAGCAACGGCAGTGGAGGTAGGGGCAAGAGGTCAAAGCTGGGTATAGTTTAAAGATATACTGACTTACAGATGGAGTCAACAGGGCTTGTTGATGAATTAGAAATGAGATGTGAAAGAAACAGAAGAGTAAAGGATGACCCCAAGTGTAGAGGAAACTAGTGAAGTATTTCCTGACTCCTCAAGCAGAATCAATCTTATTTCTGTATTTCTCTTTAGCACACTGTATTGAAATGATTTATTTATATGTCTGCTTCCCTACTAGACTCTAAGTTTCTCAAGGGCACAACCTGGATCTTAGTGATGAATGATGACATTTTCATTATTCTCAGAGATGAAGGAGAAAGTGGGGATTAGAGGGTAACATGTACTGCAGGAAAATGGAAGGGGCAGGAGGCAGTCAAGTGTAGACTGGTGAGCACCAGCTGGGGAGCCTGGCAGGCTTGGGTTTGAATCGTGGCTCCATCACTTGTAGCTTAGGACAAGTTACATTAACCTCCTTTAGCTTTAGATCATGTAAAATGTGAATAATACTAATATTAATAACATCCACTTGATAAGGTTGTTGTGAACTAGAAACTATACTCATCCCACCCCTCTAGGTGGTCACACAGCAAATTGACACTGGCTATTTATTTTACATCTGGTAGTGTGTATGTTTCCATGCTACTCACTCCATTCATCCCACCCTCTTCTTCCCCGTTCCCCTGATGGTGTCCATAAGTCTGTTCTCTGTGTCTGCACCTCCATTGCTGCTCTGCAGATAGGCTCATCAGTACCATCTTTCCAGATTCCAAGCTGCTGCTACTTAGTCATGTCCAACTCTGTGCGACCCCATGGACTGCAGCCTGCCGGGTTCCTCTGTCCGTGGGATTCTCTAGGCAAGAGTACTGGAGTGGGTTGCCATGCCCTCCTCCAGGGAATTGTTCCTGACCCAGGGATTGGACCTGGGTCTCCTGCATTGCAGGCAGATTATTTACCGCTTTCCAGTATTCTTGCCTTGAAAATTCCATGGACAGAGGAGCCTGGTGGGCTACAGTCTAGGGGGTCACAAAGAGTCAGAGATGACTGAGTGACTGAACACACACACACACACACAGAGAAAAGATTGTAACTTATCCAATGTTTGTAAATGTTTATCCCATGAGATAAATTATGTCTGTTGCTCACATCTACATCATCAGCACCTGGGAGAGCACCTGTCACATCACTGGAACTCAGTAAAGGGAGTGGATAAACTGTGAGCCAGGTACTTTGCATACATTATCTCACTTGTCCTTACGATGCACTTTATAAATGAGGAAAAGAAAGCTTGATGAAGTGAATTGGCCCAAGGTTACATAGCTGGTAAATAACAGATGCATATTTCAGTGAGATCAGTTTGACTGGGCATTTAAAATAGATCACCAGCCCAGGCTGGATGCATGAGACAAGTGCTCGGGCCTGGTGCACTGGGAAGACCCAGAGGGATTGGGTAGAGAGGGAGGTGGGAGGGGGGATCGGGAGGGGGAAATACATGTAAATCCATGGCTGATTCATGTCAATGTATGACAAAACCCACTACAATATTGTAAAGTAATTAGCCTCCAACTAATAAAAATAAATGAAAAAAAAAAAACCTTCTCTGGGGCATGCTCATTTTTTGATTTGTTTTCCAGTGGAGACTTTTCAGAAACTGCAGAAGGCAAAGGACATTTTGACTAATGAAGCAAGTCGAGCCCGCTATGACCACTGGCGAAGGAGCCAGATGTCAATGTCATTCCAGCAGTGGGAAGCTTTGAGTGATTCGGTGAAAATGGTAGGTTTCTCTCTGGGATGAAGGGAATTTATGAAGCTCGGGCTGCCCTGGATTAGACTCACATAGTAGCTTAAAGGGGCTTCCCTTGTGGCTCAGATGGTAAAGAATCCGCCTGCAATGTGGGACACCTGGTTTCGATCTCTGGGTTGGGAAGATCCCCTGGAGGAGGGCATGGCAGCCCACTCCAGTATTCTTGCCTGGAGAATCCCATGGACAGAGGAGCCTGGCGGGCTACAGGCCATGGGGTCTCAAAGAGTTGACACGACTGAGCAAATAAGCACATACACAGCACAGTAGCTCAAAGTGTCAATGGACAAGAGGAGAGAGAAAACCAAGAAGCTGGTAGAATCTGGATACAATGCAGTACCCACAAAGTCTTGTGAAAGGAAATTCAATACATCATGGTCAGAAGAATCTCTGACTATGCTTTTCAGTCTCTTTGGCTGTTTGTATATGTATACGTAGATACGTATACATGTATATGTATATATGTATGCTTCCTGTTACCGTCTGTTAATACATTCTGATAACTGTGCTTCTCAAGTTGCTCATATAACACTTTTGAGTTTTGAACCAATGCAAATTCATATACTCCATCTTTTTAGTTCATATGAGCCTGTGCTCTTCTTAAAGCTTAATAAAGTCAATAAAAACAGGACCTGATTAATCAAATAAATCTGTAAATTATTCCTATTATTAATTTTGGTAAAAGAATTATTGGATAGATGCAGAGAGACTTTTAAAACCATTCTGTTATTTTCTTCCATGCCATTAAAGAAAACAAATACAAAATAATCTCTATAATTTTTATGTTATATATTTATTTTGTCCTTCCATGGATTGCAGAGAGAATGTAATTTTAAAGGTTTCTACATTCTTAGGCATGATTTACATGATTTTTTTAATCTGCTTTTCTTCCCCCTACAGGGATATTTTTCTATAACATGAGACTTAAAAATGGGGAAGTTACCTTATAAGGAAGTATTCAGGGACATGTTAGAATAAGTGTATAAAGTGATTCACATCTCTTAAATTCCAGTTCTTCAGGTTATGTTCAGATTCCTTCTTAATAGTTTTTATTTAAATGAGACTTGAGCAAATTGTTTTTTCACTGATAAATGACCTGTACCACCAAGGGAGGGTCTTTGAAGTAATGGGGAAGAGCAATGCAAAACTCTCAAAGTATACAGTTAAAGCCACTCTACATAACATGTAAATGGTTTTCTTCATTTCATTTTAGAATGCAGTGTATATTCATATGATTTGTTTACGGTTGGTTAATTATTTATGAAGGACTAACCATAGACTGTTGCATATACATACAAAATAACTAGAGAGAATCTTTAAAACGATAGTGACTTAGCTTCACATACTCAAAAATAAGATTTTTCTTCTACATTGTGTATATCCAAAATTCCTTATTAACTCTGACTAAACATTGTTCTGCCACCTCTATATAACCATATTTCTATTCTCTTGAGTATTACACACTGTAATTGCTACTGAATTAGTGACCCTTGCTATTTTAATGCCTTTTGATTTATAGTTCATTTTTCTTGATGATCCACTGAACTGTTGTTACTTAATTTTAACTGCTAATATCAAGTTAGCTGTGGATTTTTCAAAAACTCTTCTCCAAGTCCCTGTTCTAATTTATATTGCAGATGTCTTTCCATTAAATACTAATGTCCTATCTCCAAACACATTATTTCTGCTTAGAATTTAGTTTAATTATGAACTGTTTGAGGGCTTACAATAATTACATTTCAGATCTTACTGGCTGCATTATTGGTCTTGTCAGCAATGTTGAAATACTATGCTGGGCTAGCGTTTGGTTCGGGATTTATTTTTATTAGTGGTACAAAAATGATGAAATGCATATCTTTCCATTTTAAATCAGCTATGATATTTTTCCTTGCACAGTCTTCTTTGTGTGGGCTCAACCATGCTGTTCCTGTATTTCTTCTTCAGTGAACTTTGAAACCCTATACCAAGTTTCATGTGTTTTCTACATCATTGGATAGACTTTCTTTTTTAAAAAAATTTAATTAATTAATTTATTTTTGGCCGCGCTGGGTCTTTGTTGCTGTGTATGGGCTTTCTCTAGTTGTGGAGCATGGGCTTTGGGGCACACGGGCTTCGGTAGTTGAGGCACATGGGCTCAGTAACTGCGGCACTCAGGTTTAGTTGCCATGTAGCGCCTGGGATCTTTCTGGACCAGAAATTGAACTCGTGTCCTCTGCTTTGGCAGGTGGATTCTTGACCACTGCACCACTAGGGAAGTCCCAGACAGACTTTTTGTAACTTCCTTTCATTCCTTTCCATTCTAATTCTCACAGTGGCTTCTGCATGTGAAAACATCACATGCAGAGGTAAGGTTCTCTATAACATTTTAGTTGTCGTTTTTTATGTGTGTGTGCATTTTTTTGTCCATCCTTTCACACTCACTACTCTAGAGAAATTAATAACAATTGTCATACCTAGTATTGTTCATCATCTATTAGATCACTACCATCGTGTAGATAAATATCATCATTAGGGTGTTTGGACTAGATATACTACATATGCCATTCTGACAATAAAATGGTTATAATTCAGGACTTGAAATTTTAGGTGACATTTATTTAAAACACATTTGCATGTTTGCTTGCCCTAAGGACAAGTCACAATGCACTTTTGCAGCATCAGGCAGGTTCCTATCATGAGAATCTCCTAGAGGGAATTCCTCACACAGCTTCAGGGATGATACATTTCTATCATTCAATAGGGATGATACATTTCTATCATTCAATGGTGATGAAACTCTAATTTGTATTTTTTCCCCCATAGCAAGTCCTTGTCACTTAACCAGCTATTGATTTTACTTTTTCCTTTTTAGAAGCTCCTCCTGATAGTTTAATTTGTAAAACTTTTGATAAATCAGTCACCAAAAGGGGGGGGGATATATGTGTATGAATGGCTCTTTCATTTCTCTGTACAGTAGAAACTAACAACATTGTAAAGCAAGTATACTCCAGTATAAATTAACTAAAAAAGAATTCCATCAGGTCAATAAGTATGTTGGAAATTTAAGTCTAGATATGTAATGTTGGTTTAAAAAAGGGAATACGAAGTAAGAACTTCAGTAACTGTGGCCTTCAGATCTTGAAATAACTTGAAAACAGACAGCTTTCCAGCTTAAAGAATCTTAGGGAAATCATTACTGTCTTGTTAAATGGGTTTACCCCAAGGGATCCCCAATGTGAATAGTTCTTCCTCCAAAATGGCTTGAGGATGGTTCTGGGGAAAGGGTTACAGCAAAGTCACAGTCAAAGGAAAATTCTGAGAAAAACATTCTCATAAGCTGTTTACAATGTCCCATGCTGTATCAGTTACTACAAATGCTTTCAGAGTATTTACTATAGGTCAGTCATTAATCCTCACCCCCTCATCTAAGGCAGACTGTAGGCGATTTTATTCTGAGAGAGAAGTACTGAGACAGAGAGTCAAGATACTGTATACAGGCCACCTAGCTGACCTGTGACACATACAGCTCATGTTTTCAGTTCTCTGGGCACTGCAAGCTTGCATTTCTTACTCTCAGTTTTTCACTAAGTTTCTCAATATCCTTTGCTCTCCACAGACAAAGCCACTGGCCAGCCTCCTCTATCCCTTGCACATGCAAAAAACCCAAGAAACTAGGCAAACAAAACAATAACAACAGACCCAAACTGTCAAAACTAAAACTAGATTATATTTTACACGAGCTGAAGCCATTGCCTCTTTTTAAAATTAATAATTTTATTTTGAAATAAAACCTACAGAAAAATGCTCAACACCGGCACTTATAATTTAGCAAACAGTTGTGAAGTGTATACTCGTAACCACTCCTCTCCCCAACACACATATTACTGGTACCCAGAAGCTCCCTCCTTAATATATTTTGGCAATCATAACTCCATCTAATTTTTATTTTGTTAATTTTTTTATTTTTTGCCACATCCGTTGGCATGCCATATCTTAATTCCCTGATCTGGGATCAAATTTGTGTCTCCTGCAATGGAAGTGTGAAGTCTTAACCACTGCACCACTGGGGAAGTCCTTCATTAAAATTTTAAAGCCTAGTTGTACATATATATACACTTGTCAGAGAAAATTTAGAAGACACCAAAATATAAAAAGAAAAAAAAAAGACTTTATAATGCTGCCATGCAAAGATAACCCCATTAGTATTCTGATGCATTTCCTTCCAGTGTTTTCTGCCCATCATTTGTTAGTGTGAGAGCCGGTTACATTGAATGATGGCATTGCTTTACTGGGTCTTTCTTTGGGTAAGAGGGATTAGGATGATGCTCCTTTGCAGTTGAGGAGAGACAGGTTGAATGTGGGAAGAAGTGAGTTCTCTGGTTGGATCAAGGCAGAAGGCTTGAATATCCTTATGGTTTTAGGGTGTGCACAAGGCTATATTGCCCTCTAGTATGTATATTTTATGTATGTGTATCTACATATATACTTATTTATCTATGTTTGAATGTATCTTTGTATCTTTCAATTTAGTTGAGATCATCTATTTGTCATCATGTGCGTGCTCAGTCACTTCAGTCGTGTCTGACTCTTTGAGGCCCCATGGACTGTAGCCCGCCAGGCTCCTCTGTCCATGAGATTCTCCAGCAAGAATACTGGAGTATGTTGCCATGCCCTTTTCCCAGGATCTTCCTGACCCAAGGATTGAACCTGTGCCTCCTAAGTCTCCTGCATTGTCAGGCGGGTTCTTTACCACTAGTGTCACCTAGGAAGCCCATTTGTGATCATGTTGGCTGCTATTCATAAACACCATATTATTAACATTTCTAAATTCTCTTTAAAAATGATGATGAACAGGTTTATATAAGATTCCAAGGAAGCATTTTACCACTTTGTACTTTCGCTTTTTTCTGATGAGGTGCTTCTCCTGGTTCCTGTCTATGTGGTCAGTGTTAGTGCTCCTGAGACAAGTGGTCAGAAATTATGGTATCACTCTCAGCTCTGTAAGATGCTGATGATCTCTGCTCCTTCTCCACCCCATCCCCCTCACGTTGCTTGGGTGAGCAAACATGGCCAAGTCCACATGTAATGGGCCACCGCCTCCCTATGTTGCTTTGTTCAAACTGGCAAATAAAGTGGTGCTCTGGGAAGGAGTTGGCAACTGCAGTATTTTGAGAGAGTTCAGACTTCAGGGCACTGCAGATGAAAAGCCTGATGTCCCTTGCATCATGGGGTGTGTGTGTAGCAGAGGCAGTGGCCCCTTCTGTGATTTTTGGCACAATTTTTAAATGTCACAACTTCTGAGTTTATTCACTAAGCCTTGGACTTCAGAAAATCAATGTTTTTGTTTTTGCTTTGTGCTCTTGCTTTGCTTTTATTCTTTTTTTAGCACAGGAAAACAATATCCTCGTTATTAGGAGAATAATTTATTCTGTGGTTTTAATTTGTCCCAATACATGGCTTATGGGTTTTTCTTGGGTTTCTGAATAACAGAGGTTACTGTTCAGTAGTGCTTTAGGAACAGCATCCCACAGTATCAGATGAGATTTCAAGAAATAATTATGTTTATTATTTTGGCTTATGCCACAGCTAATTATTCTACTTGAATATTCTTGATAACACAAACTCTCTTTCTTACTCTGTATTCATCTGTTCTTCCTTTTTTATCTACTCATCCATCCAGTTTTAAACATCTTAGTAGGAAATACAGAGAGTTCCCTGGAAGTCCCAGGGTTAGGACTGGGCACTTTCACTGCCACAGTCCAGGTTCAATCCCTGGCCAAGGAAATAAGATCTCGCAAGCCATGAAGCTCGGCCAAAAAAAAAAAAAGAAGGAAATACATATATAGGACATATGTGAAAAGGGTCCAAAAGCATGCATGGGTAAAAGTAATTGTCTCTTACCTTTGCCCCATTTTGAAGATCCATTTTTCACTTTTTCCTACTCCTGACATCACCATCAGTAGCCAGAGCTAGGTTGGAAAAATTACACAGTTAAATTATTTGGCAAAGGACCTCTACCAAGTATATTGGACACCATTCTAGGATATCGGGTTTCTGGGGAGAGTTTTCAAGTGTTTTGAATCTTGTGTTTGTCTAAAAATATAAAAGTTTTACCAGAAGTCAGTGGGGGAATGCCCAATACTTGATTTATGGTCCCTGATTTTTTAAAACTGTAACTTAGAAAATAATAAAACACTTCTGTTTTTTAAAAAACAAACTAGTACAATAGGATATGTAATAAAAAGTGAGTCCATCTTTATTTCATACCTCAGTTTTACTTCCCTCTCCCAGAAAGCCACCATTGTAGTTTCTTGTGTTTTCTTTCAGAAACCTTCCATAATGTATACAGGCACATTCATAAAAAGTCTCCAGAATAATTCTGTTAATGAATGGGAGGAAAGTGAAGTCAGTCAGTCATGTTCAACTCTTTGTGACCCCATGGACTGTAGCCCTACCAGGCTCCTCTGTCCATGGGATTTTCTAGGCAAGAATACTAGAGTAGGTTGCCATTTCCTTCTCCAGGAGATCTTCCCAACCCAGGGATTGAACCTGGGTCTCCCTCATTGTAGGCAGACGCTTTACCATCTGAGCCACCAGAGAAGTCCATAGTATCATTAAGAAAAACCAAATGGAAAGATATTTTAAAAGTTCTCGTTATTTGATGGTAACTGGACTTGAAGTGAATTCACTTAAAATTAGGACAGATATTTCACAATAAATATTGACTAAGTTCATGCTTTGTGCCATGAGTTTTCGTAAAGAAAACTCCTGCAAAACATGTATGCAGGTCAAGAAGCAACAGTTAGAACCAGACCTGGCACAACAGAACAGTTCAAAATTGGGAAAGGAGGATGTCAAAGCTGTATTTGCCACCCAGCTTATTTAACTTATATGCAAAGTACATATTATGAAATGCCTGCTGGAGGAAGCACAAACTGGAATCAAGATTGCAGGGAGAAATGTCAATAACCTCAGATATGCAGATGATACCACCCTTATGGCAGAAAGTGAAGAGGAACTCAAGAGCTTCTTGATGAAGGAGAAAGAGGAGAGTCAAAAAGCTGACTTAAAACTCAACATTCAAAAAAACTAAGATCATGGCATCCAGTCCCATCACCTTATGGCAAATAGATGGTGAAACAATGGAAACAGTGACAGACTTAATTTTCTTGGGCTCCAAAATCACTGCAGATGGTAACAGCAGCCATGAAATTAAAAAGATGCTTGCTTCTTGGAAGAAAAGCTATGACAAACCTAGACAGCATATTAAAAAGCAGAGACATTACTTTGCCAACAAAGGTCCATAGGGTCAAACCAATGGTTTTTCCAGTAGTCATGTATGGATGTGAGAGTTGGACTATAAAGAAAGTTGAGCACTGAAGAATTGATGCTTCTGAACTGTGGTGTTGGAGAGGACTCTTGAGAGTACCTTGGACTGCAAGGAGATCAAACCAGTCAATCCTAAAGGAAATCAACCCTTTCCAATTTTCATTGGAAGGACTGATACTGAAGATTCAATACTTTGGTCACTGATGTGAAGACCTGACTCATTAGAAAAGACCCTGATTCTGGGAAAGATTGAAGGCAGGAGGAGGAGGGGACAACAGAGGATGAGGTGGTTGGATGGCATCACTGATTCAATGGAAATGAGTTCGAGCAAGCTCCAGGAGATGGAGAAGGACAGAGAAACCTGGTGTGCTACAGTCCATGGGGTCACAAAAAGTTGGACACGACTGAATGACTGAACAACAACTGCTTGTGCCATGAGTTTTCTTAAAGAGAAGATGTATAATCCAGAATTCTAATATTTGCCAGCTCTGCATTGATCATGGCTGGAAGGAAGGTCACAATAGTAGTAGGTTTAATCTCTGGCATGGCTCAAGGTACACAGTGCAGCTGTTTGTTTTTTGATAGTAAAATACACATAAAACCTACCATTTAACCATTTTAAAGTGTCCGTTTCAGTGGCACTAAGTGCATTCCCAGTGTTGTTCACCCATCATCACTATCTAGTTTGAGAACTTTTTCATCACCCCAAAAGGAAACCCCTGTCCTTGTTAGCAGTCACTTCCTATTCCCCTCTCAACCAGCATCTGGTAACCACTAATCTGCTTTCTATCTGTATGAATTTGTCTATTCTGGAATTATACAAAATGTGGCTTTTTATGTTTGACTTCTTTTACTAAGCATAATATTTATAAGGTTTATCCACATTGAAGTACTTTCTTCCTTTCTTATGGTCACATAGTATTTCACTGCATGGATATGCCACATTTTTGTTTATCTAATGAATTGATGGACATTTGGATTATTTTCATGACTGCTATGAATATTTGTGTGTAAGTTTTTCTTTGAACACCTATTTTCAATTCTTTGTATCTAGGAACTGAATTGCTGGGACATATGGTAATTTTATGGCTAATTTTCTGGGAAAACATCATTCTTTTAATTCCTCTGATGCTGGTCCCTCTCCTTCATACTAGGATATGAATTTCTCCTCATATTCTTAGTTTTCCAAATCAGTGAGGATTAATTAATTAATATCTGAATTAGTTGATTAACATCTGGCTGATAGTCAAGTCTAACATTTTGTTAATCAGTACTATAATAGTAGGTTACCACAATATTGAACACATATTTTTGAACACATTGAACACAATAATTGTTACCACATATTGAACTTTAAATATAGAAACTATATAATATGGATTTTATATTATACATCTGCTTTCAATTAATATAGTCAATGCACTGGGCTGTCAGAGGAAAAAAGGATCTGATGTTGGAAGAATCTGACCAGACTCATACTGACAAAGTTGAAAATGAGGAACAGGATGAGCAAGAAGAGATAAAGAAAGAGGAGTTTGGTTCAACCACAGAGAAAATGGAGCAGAAAGAATCCAAATCTGTGGAGAAGTCATTCTCCCCACAAAATCCGGATTCTCCAGGTAAGTCATGTCATGTAGTTTGTAGAACAGAGAAGGTCTCATATTAAAAGACCATTTTATAGCATATGTATTCTCAACTTTTCCAATTACATAATAGTACCAACTATTAAGGTTGTTTTGGCACCTTGAAAGATACTTACCATCGACACAGAAACTAGATATATTCCTTAACACATTCCTTGCAAGCGAAAACTTGAGACTTTTCTGGGATCATCTTCTGCTTTACTGAAACAACTCTAGCTAGCATGTGTTGGGTATATATGTATATATTTATTTATTTTTAAACTTGTTTTTGGATTTTTTGATGTGGGACCATTTTTAAAGTCTTAATTGAATTTATTACAATATTGCTTCTGTTTTATGTTTTGGTTTTGTGGCCTTGAGGCACGTGGGATCTTAGCTTCCCAACCAGGGACTGAACCCACACCCCCTGCACTGGAAGGCAAAGTCTTAACCACTGGGCCACCAGGGAAGTCGCTGTGTTGGGTATTTACTGTGTGCAGTTATTTACATATATTACTTAAAATCTATTATATTATTTAATATTAATTTTACATGAATTCATTTATTTAATCCTCACTACAAGTATTATTCTCATTTTACAGATGAGAAAACTGAAGCCTCGGGAGGCTGAATAATTTTCTCAAGGTTATCCAGCTTGTATGTGGCAGGGAAGGGGTCTGAGATGAGACAGTTTGACTGCAGAGTCTGCATTCTAAGGCACTGCACTATCCTCAGAAGATACATTATCTGTAGGTAGCTCTGTAGACATCTGACCCACATATAGGTCTACTGAAGCAGGGTATTACAGAGGTTAAACTCTTGGCTCCTAAGCTAACCCACCTGGGTTGACATTCTGTGTTAAGTTGCTTCAGTTGTTGTCCAACTTTTTGTGACCCTATGGACTGTAGCCCTGTAGCCTCCTCTGTCCAGGGGATTCTCCAGGCAAGAATACTGGGGTGAGTTGCCATGCCCCACTCCAGGGGATCTTCCCAACCCAGGGATCAAACCCAGGTCTCCTGCACTGCTCTTTACTGTCTGAGCCACAAGGGAAGCCCCTAACAATCCAGACACACATGAAAGAGCTCAAGCAGCAAGGGCGGAGTTGGGTGCCAGGTGGTGGTCCAAAGGCCCAGAGCCATGCATGCATCCAGAGGCCCAAATCCTTGGGAATAGACACCGAAGGAGACCATGTCAGCTCACTTTCTAGCTCTACCATTTATTATTTATATTACTTGGAATCAAGATTGCCGGGAGAAATATTAATAACCTCAGATATGCAGATGACACCACCCTTATGGCAGAAAGTGAAGAAGAACTAAAGAGCCTCTTGATAAAAATGAAAGAGGAAAGTGAAAAAGCTGGCTTAAAGCTCAACATTCAGAAAACCAAGATATGGCATCCGGTCCCATCACTTCATGGCAAATAGATGGGGAAACAGTTGAAACAGTGGCTGACTTTATTTTTCTGGGCTCCAAAATCACTGCAGATGGTGATTGCAGCCATGGGATTAAAAGATGCTTACTCCTTGGAAGGAAAGTTCCAAGCATGTTAGACAGCATGTTAAAAAGCAGAGACATTACTTTGCCAACAAAGGTCCGTCAAGTCAAGGCTATGGTTTTTCCAGTGGTCATGTATGGATGAGAGTTGGACTATAAAGAAAGCTGAGCACCAAAGAATCTATACTTTTGAACTGTGTTGTTGGAGAAGACTATTGAGATTCCCCTGGATTGCAAGGAAATCCAACCAGTTCATCCTAAAGGAGATCAGTCCTGGGTGTTCATTGGAAGGACTGATGTTGAAACTGAAACTCCAGTACTTTGGCCACCTGATGCAAAGAGCTGACTCATTTGAAAAGACCCTGATGCTGGGAAGGATTGAGGGCAGGAGGAGAAGGGGACAACAGAAGATGAGATGGTTGGATGGCATCACCGACTCAATGGACATGGGTCTGGATGGACTCTGGGAGTTGGTGATCGACAGGGAGGCCTGGCGTGCTGCGGTTCATAGGGTCACAAAGAGTCGGACATGACTGAGCGACTGCAGTGAAGTGAAAAGAAAGTTATGTACTCCTTCACACTTTAGTTTCCTCATCTACAAAACAGAGATCTAAGTGGTACCTTCTTATAAAGTAACCAAGAGGATCAAATGAGGTGATTCATGGAAAATGCTTAGGGCAGTGATTTGCCTATAGCAGGCTCTGGGCAATTATTAGCTATGCTTATCAATTCTTTGTATATCTGGCCATCCCACTGTATTTATCTTGTACAGGTGTGTTATGTATCCACACTCTTAACTATCCACAACACCCTAGTAGAATTTAGCCTTTAAGTACAATATTGCTTCTGTTTTATGCTTTGGATTTTTGTCCACCAAGGATCGAACCCACACCCTCTGCATCAGAAGGGAAAGTCTTAGTCACTGGACTGCCAGGGAAGTCCCTAGCCTACAAGTAGAAGTTTCCTGAATGTCCTCAAACACTTCTTATAAAAAAGAAGGTAATTAGATAGGTTGTGGTGAACTATAGTCTTTCTAGAAATAGTCACTTCTAAACTCTTTGGTGAGAATTTTTACATGCTAATTTCTTATTGGTAATGAAGATTCTTGGTGATTCATTCAGGTGCCTCTGCTGGTTTTCCAAGAGATCCTTTTGTAGAGCCAGCAGTCGATTGCATCAGCCTCATAACTGGCAATGGTTATAATATAACAAATGGATCAAAGCAGAAGGCCAGATGTCCCAAGAAGTGTTTCAGGGAAACATACACATATAAACACACACCCACCCACCACAGTTTGCATGTACAGGCAAACACGTGACTGCTTCCCCATTTATCCTTGGAATGTTCCGATTTGTGCTTCCTGAATCTCTAGGCCCTCCCTGTGACTTTTTGTTTCAGATTCAGGCCTGTTCTGAGTTCACCAGAATTGAGGGGGTTGATCATGTCAGAGCCTCACACTGAGGTCACACTTAAATCCCTTTCATAAGATTCTATAAAATTTTCTCTTTCTTTTAAAAAAGTTATTTAGATATTTAAAAGCCTCAAAGTAATATGAGCTTATCATTGAAAATTTGGAGAATCAGGACATCCCTGGTGGTTCAATGGTTAAGACTCCCCACTTCCAGGGGGCAGGGGGCTCAGGTCTGATCCCTGGTTTGGGAATTAAGGTCCCACATCTCGAGCAGTGCAGCCAAAAAATAAAAAAATTTTAAAAAATTCAAAGAATCATACATAGACAATAACTTAGTGTCTACCCTAGTGTCTCATTGTTTTCTGAAGTAAACAGTGCAGATGCCCAGGTGTGTCCCCTTCTACACTGGTTCTCTATGTTAACAAAGGCATGCATAAGCATATGTTTGTTTGTGAGGGTTATACTGTCACATTCCTCTCTGTTATACAGTAACTAAGAGTACAGACTCTGTAAACAGAGTCTGGCTTTTTCCACTGCCGAGTTGTGTGACCTTGGGCAAGCAAATTAACCTCTCTGTATTTATATCTTCTTATCTCTCTATAATGGTTAAAATATCAGTGTCTACCTTATAAGGTCTTTTTGAGAAGTAAATAACATATGTAAACTCTTTAGACCTGGTACATGGCCAGTGCTTTTTTAGTGTTAGCTTTTATTACTATGGGGTTTCTCCTTAGACCCTTATATTTAGAATGAACTCATTGGTTTTAACAACTGATACATATTCCATAGTGTAGCTATATTGTAATTGACTCTGAATAAGTTTTGATTCCAGTTTTGATACCCTCACGTCATGAAGTATATTATACTGTGGTTAAGGAAGGAAGTGAAGCGGGTGAGAGGGGGAGAGGATCACTGTTCTGAAAGCTACTACTGAAGAATAAGAATTAGGAAATTTTGCTGAAGGCTGAATATACCAGTATTTTCTTAACGTTATTTAAGAGATTATTGGCTGTTCTCAGTAGTGCCTTAAAGTTGGGTTTTCATATGCCAAAGTAAAGTTGCATGCCTATTTATAATTTCATTTGACTGCAATGAACATTTTTATAATGTCAGCATTTAAGAAATATTATTCATGTCAGCTTTACTAAGCCCCTAGTGGCTTCCCACATAACTTTTCAGCATTTTTGTTGATTTCCTCAAGCAGTGCTTGGTATTTACTTTGAAGTTTGCCTTTTGATGCCTCTTCTGTGATAAACATCCATCAGATAGCCCCCATCATTTCCGATTCTTCATTGCAACCAGGAAAAAAAGGAGCACAGCATCTGAAAACCCACATGCGAGACAATCTAACTTTTACTTTATTTTCATTTAAATATGCAATAAATGTGCCTTCTGATAAATACAGTTCTAGAATCAAATAGTATTGCATAACATCCTGGAGTAAAAAAAAAAAAACAAATCAAACATAGCAGATGCTGTTGATGCGCCAACATATCCTCTGGGCATCTGCCTTCCCAGGCATTGCCAACCATACGGCTCCCACCAGAGGGCTTTCACTGGCAGTGAATCTGGTTTGGCAGCAAGTGAGCGGACAGTTAAGTGCCAGGGAGTAAATACCCTGTGGATGTAGCCATCACATAATGAATGTGAGTGGGAGGATAAGTTCTCCAACACCTTCATCCCTCAAGTGGAACAACTCTTGAGTTTTTATTTAATTTCTTTTAATATTGTCTCCCAGAGCTCCCCAGGGGATCAAACCCTAGTTGTCCAGAGTACTAACTTCCTGAAAATGTACCTTTTATAGACTTGGCTCCTTTCCCTACTTCCCTACCAGGGTCTCTTGGGATCACCTCTCAAATTAGCCACTTGCATTCAAATTCTTGTCTGGGGTCTATTTCTAGGTTAACCCAAGTGTGAAAACATATTTTTTAAACTCCAAAAATAACACATATTTAGTGTAGAAACGTGAGGAAAATACGGTCAAGCAAAAGGAACAAAATACAATAACTTGTAGTCTTACCACTTAGGGAAATATTTATTATTGCTATTTTGGTATATTTTTAAGATATGTTAGTATGCCTAAAATGAAAAGGATATCACTGAACATATTTTGTGTGTGTGTTTCAATTACAGGTTGTTGGAAACAATTTTCTTTTTGCCTTTTTCCCCAAATGGAAATTCTTCAGATTTTTTCTCTGATAATTCTAAAGAAAGTGCAGATCCTATTTTCCTGGGATAATCACTGTCAATATTCTGTGTATATTTTTCCTGCTAGATATTTAGATAATATTTTAAATATTAGTGGAACTATGTATTATTTATTATTCTGTATTTTATGTATTATTCTGTAACCTATTTCTTATTGGCAATATTTTAAACATAGAAAATAATACAAAGCATACTTGTTCATTGTAGAAAAATAAGAAAGTACAGATGAACAGAAAAAGAGTATAAAGAATGAAAATCTTATGTATTCCAATTCTTCAGTAATAGCTACTATCAACATTTAGGAGTAATTCATTGTAGACTTAAAAAAACTTTTATATAAATACCCATGTAAATAATGAATTTATGAATGAGATCATGCTGTCTAAATTATTTCCTAACTACTAGTTACTTAGTAATATATTATGAACATTTTTCTATAATGATAAATATTAAAAAATTGTTAATGACTATGTCAAAGCCTTTTAACCATTTTCCTGTTATTGAAGATTTAGATTGTTTCTTTGAAACATTTATAAATGGTATCACAATAAACACCCTTATAGTTAAATCCTTGGGCACATCATGATTATTTCATTAAGATAAATTTCTAGAAGTAGAATGATTGGTTTCAAGGTTTATACATTTTAATGAGTTTGATAAATATTGCCAAATTACCTGCTAGAAGAATTTTGCCAATTTACCCTTCCTCTAGTAGAGAATGAACATGACCTTTTTTCTAGTTTTCAACAAAGTTGTTTATTAGAATAAAAAAAATCTTACTATTATAGAATAAATTATTTGTATTTCCAGGGATTCTTTCCATTGACCTTTTACTTTTGGCAGCTGTTTAAAAGTAGTTTCCAATTTCTTTGCAGATGAATTATCAAAATTCCTACCACTGGAAGCATCTTTAAATATCCTTTTATTCTTAAGTATTTAAACATGTGAAGTCCTCTCATCCATATAAACCAATTCCTGTTCATAAAGGTTCAAAAGTCTGCTTATCCATTTATGTAAGATACTAAAAACTGATACCAATGACTTACCCTTGTGTTTCATTTACTGCTATGAAATCTTATGAACAAGCTGTTTTACTATGATAAGCTTGACTTTTCCTACCTTTGATTTAAAAATATCCCCTTCTGTCTTCTACAGGTTTTGCAGATGTGAACTGTTGGCACCTTCGTTTCCGCTGGTCTGGGGATGCTCCTTCAGAACTCCTGAGGAAATTCAGAAACTATGAAATATGAAATATCCCTGTTCATAGAGGAGAGAGAAAAAGAAAGAAAGAAAAAGAGAGAGAGAGAGAGAGAAGAGAGAGATCATTTCTTGTGCTGCCAACATGCAGTCTTTCTTCAGATCTTAAAAATGTCATATTTGTGAATTGCTGAGTACCAAATCATTCCTCCATCCTTGAACCCATTCTCTCAATGTGTTTTTTGAGAAAATTTTCAGACTAGTTTCTTTCAATATTGAAGTAAATTAAGGCCCTTAGATCCAGAGTAGATTGTATTATGTGTATTTTCCTGTTAATGTTATTTATAGAGATCTATTAAAAATCAATCCCTGTAGTTAAATATTTCATTGATGTACCATGATCTTTATTAGTGCTGGATATACAAGAAATGTTTTGTGACTCTGAACTTAAAGTGAAATGTGAAATTATTTGTGTAAATTGAATGAAATAAATAATCTTTCCAAAGTTCATAATGAATTTTATATTTAAAAAATTTATTTATTTGGCTGGATCAGGCCTTATCCCTTGGAGAAGGGAATGGCAACTCACTCCGATATTCTTGGCTGGAGAATTCCACGGGCAGAGGAACCTGGCAGGCTACAGTCCATGGGGTTGCAGCGTTGGACATGACTGAAGTGACTGATCACGCACATACACTGGGCCTTAGTTGCATCATGAGTGATCTTTTGTTGCAGCACTCAGATTCTCTAGTTGCAGCAGACGGCCTTTCCAGTTGTGGTGCTTGGGCTTAGTTGCTCTGAGGCATATGGGATCTTAGTTCCCTGACCAGAGATCGAACCTGCCTCCCCTGCATTGTAAGGCTGATCCTTAATCACTGAACACCAGGCAAGTCCCCATAATGAATTTATAATTCAGTTGTATTTTGAAAATAATTTGAATAAGTATTTCTACTTCAATTTTAATAATTATAAATTTAAAACATTGTTCATTTGAGAAAATGTTTTTACAAGATTTCTTTTATTATATAGCAGGTGATGCATTTATAAGCTATATTCTAACTATGAAAATGGACCTATGAGGTAATATGTCCTTTTTCAGTTGGAATTACTAGGTTTATCATGTGTGTGTAGTTGATGGCCAGTTTTTAGTGTGGAAATAAGTGAGTGAAAAATTAAGAAGAAAAATGATTTTAGAGCAGGAGTTCTTTGTTCAAAGCAGAATTTTCACTGTTCTATAGCAAAGTGAAAAAAATAAAAATGTAGGAAGGTTTTTTTTAAAGCAAAATAATTCAGAAATTATGTCTTTCCTAACTTTGTGATTTAAAATGTGCTTTCCTTTTATGAAATAATGTCATAATAGATTGTATTGGTTTGTTGGGATGCCATAACAAAATACCACAGACTGCGTGGCTTAAACAATATTTCTCAGGGTTCTGGAGGTTAGAAGTCCAAGATCAAGGTGTATGCATATTTGGTTTCTTTTGAGGCCTCTCTCCTTGCCTAGCAGATGGCTGCTTTATCTTCACAAAGGCCTTTCTTCTTATAAGCATCAGTCATATTTGATTAGGACCCCATATTCGAAAGGATGCCTAAAAGCATCCTTTAACTTAACCCTTTAAAGAGCTCATCTCCAAATAAGGTTACATTCTGAGCTACTGGGAGTTGGGACTTTAATAAATGAATTTTAAGGGAACATAATTCAGTACCTAACATAGATGAAAAGATGAAAACTTTTTTTTTTCAACAAATACAACCCTGTATTGGTTCCCTTAATATTATTTGAAGTTTTGTTGTTTTGTCAAATCCAAAAATCAGGGCCAGCCATTTAAATAATTATTTCTATCAACATTTTACCACTTCAGTAAAATGTGATTTGGCATTGTTATCATATCTACAAAGTTTATTTCAAAAAGAGAAAGAGGTTGCGTGTTAAATTAATAAAATGAGCTTTTGGACTATAGTTGCCTGTCATAATGCCTGCCTGGCCCAAGTAGGCACTTGAATAAATACCAGATGGAATAACTGAATTTTTGAATCTAAAGAATCAGGGTTTTAATTTTTTCCTCTTTTTTTCACCTAGACTGTCTGATTCACAGCACTGATGACTTTTAATGACTTGTGGAGGGGAAAAACATTCTCACTCCCCCAGTCTGCTCTGCTTTTGTCACAGACTTATTTCCCAACTATTGATAAGACTGAGCATTAGCTCTTGTTTACTTTCCCCTCCTATGATGTTTGAAGCCTCTAAATAAGAAATAGCCTCTAAAAAAATAGTGCCACTTGAATAGGGATTTCAGATAGGTCAGCCTTGTGCTAAGCACTTTATTTACTTGATTCCATCTAACTTAGTAGATCTTTCACATTAAAACAGTTAAGAACTCTCCTCAACTCAAGACTTAAAAAGGAAGGTGACTATACTTTGATAATACAATCAAAAGAGAGTGTTTCTCTTTGAATAAAAAGTAAGAAGAAAACTGGACAACTATCCTCAGTAATTTGTTTGAATTCCCCAGTGTTTCCAGCACAATCACAATTGTATGTATGTGTAACAGCACATTCTCAAAGCCACTTATTACTGGATTATGGCTTGAATTTATGGCATAGCAAAATGATTATGAAAAGATAATTTTACATAAAAGTGATTAAGCTCTTAAGTCAGCTCCAAATGGTAAAGATAGTTTCTCTTATATTTGATATTGAATGAGTGAATGAATGAGGCACATATTTCTTGAGAAAATTATGTGATAAATATTGTACTAGCAATTGGGGCTTCCCTGATAGCTTAGTTGGTAAAGAATCCACCTGCATGCAGGAGACCGCGGTTTGATTCCTGGGTTGGGAAGATCCACTGGAGAAGGGATAGGCTACCCATTCCAGTATTCTGGCCTGGAGAGGAGTCACAAAGAGTCAGATACGACTGAGCAATTTTCACTTTGTGTAGGATATAAACATGCTTAAGGTGGCTCGCGTGATAAAGAAACCGCCTGCCAATGCAGGAGGTATAAGAGACATAGGTTTGATCCTTGGGTCAGGAAAATCCCCTGGAAAAGGAAATGGCAACCCACTCCAGTATTCTTGCCTAGAGAATCCCATGGACAGAGTTGCCTGGAAGGCTACAGTCCATGAGTTTGCAGAGTTAGACATGACTGAAACAACTTAGCACACTTAACACAGTTGATAATTTAGTGAAGTAACACAGATATCTGAATATCTCATAGTTTAAAAGGGGCATGCTGTATTAGTTTAGGTATGTCATGTGATTAGTACATGCCTGGCACATAGTAAGCACTAAGTGTAATATTACTATTCTTACATATTAAACCTTGTGATAATCAGTTAACAAAATTGTGGCCTCTCTCCCCCCTCATTACCTTTCCTCCAATTCTCCATCTCAGAAGCACTTCCAGATATCCTGTGCATTACACACATACATGTGTTTCTGTTCTTTTGTCTACTCAAATGGAAACACTCTCCTGTGGCATACCTTTCATTTATTCAGTTTCTATGTCTTGGAGATTTTTCCATGTTTAGTATGTAAGTTCTACCCTTTTTTCCCCCCTTAATCTGCTACATGGTTTCCATTGTGTGAACCATAATTTATTTAATTTGCTCTACTTGAGCTTTTCAGGTTATTTCAATTTTCCCCTGAAACACAAACAGCAATGTAGTGAATAGCTTTACATACAGTTTCTTGTATGTGAAATATACTGTAAGATAAATACTTCTTATTGGAATGGACCAAAGAGTGTATATGTACATTTAGAATTAGATTGGGCTTCCCTGGTGGCTCAGATGGTAAAGAATCCACCTTTACCACCTGCAATGTGGGAGACCCTGGGCTGGGAAGGTCCCCTGGAGACTGGAACAGCTACCCACTCTAGTATTCTGACCTGGAGAATTCCATGGACAGAGGAGCCTGGTAGGCTACAGTCCATGGGATTGCAAAGACATGACTTAGTGATTTTCACACACACATAATTAGATTACCATATAGTTGAGCAAACAACAGACGCAATTTGGTTAAGTTGCAGATCTTAGGGCCACTGAATTGTAAAACCCAGAAAATAGTTCATGTTCATTGGTATTCTTGAATTTAGTCTTTTCCACTCTAGGATAGACTTTGTTGAGTACCTCAGTTTGAAGCTTATGGAACAATTTACCAGTTATCTCTGACCCCCTGCCATACCAGGGATTGCCCAAGATATAAAGCAAAAATAAAATCAGAGTATACTTTTCTTCTAGTATCTTCCACAGAGACAGGATGAACTCAGGGTATTCTTTTCAGTGTTATGGCTTCTGGGTGTCCTGAAATGTTGAAATACAATTCTAAAACATTTTTGCTCTTTTAAGTAAAGGGCAACTCAATAGAGCAAATCTTGAAAACTTAGGCAGAATTCACAATTTCTGTGAATTCTGTGAATTTCCTATGATCCCCAATAGTTCCTAGTCTCCCATGGACATATACCAGACTGTCAAAAACATGCCCTTTGATGAGCAAATTAGAAACGCAAAAAAGACCTTGCCGATATTTCTCGTAAAGAGAGAGCTGGATCAGGGGAAGATAAGGTTGCTTTCCCGCTTATGAATTTTCATATCCTTTCTGTGCCCAGATCTGATTGTGGTTACAAGATCAATCATAGCAGCAAGTGTGGATGACTAATGCAGTTATTGAGAGGGGTCTTTAATTTCCTGAAGGCAAACACCATTACCTACCACCTCCATATCACAGATGAGGAGATGCCAGGGCTACTGGGGACTCAGTGATGGAAGAAATTATAAAACTGATGCAATTACTGAGAAAATGATGAAATGTCTCACAAGAAAGGCTTCAATTCCCTTCAATTTCAGGTTTTGTGATACGCATCAGTGTGGCTGTGTGTTTAGTATTATTCTCAGCTCCCTGTGAAGTCTTACCCTCATGGTGGAGAACATTTTGTATCAGGCAGGTCATTCTCACCCTTTCTCCTCCCACCTCCGCTCTCATGTCTTCCAATGATTTGCTTTGAGGACTTTTGTATTAATTAGCAGCCAAGAGTAAATGTTTTCACAGTGG